ATGATTTTATGAAATAATTCTCGGGTTATCTAAAAGAAAAATAATGAACCGGATACAACGATTCATAGTGTTCGATGTGAAAAATTCTGGCCGGAAGTAAACCGTCAGAGTGTAATTGACCTGAAAAACGTTAAATGAGTGAGAACAAAAGTCAAAGGAATCGATATGAATTTGAATGTGAGAATATTGGAACAATACGCTGTTCATATGTACTTATATAGATTAGATTTTCATCTACTTTTACTTATGGACATGCGACAACACCGGACTACTTAACGTTTTCCTATTGAACCACAATCTAATCACATACGAGGTCTGTTTAAAAAGTACCGCGAATTTTGTGTTTATTAAAAAATTATGTATTTGTTCATGAATATCTGTTTTAGAAAATACTACAAATGGCGCAGTGAACGCCATCTGTAGCACGATGCTACATTTTAGGATTACGTTTGCTCCAACAAGGTCCACTTGTGTATACGTATATCTACTTGGTTAAAACGCATCCTGGCGTAGACAACCTCAACGTGATAGGCACGTTAGCTTAATCGAATAAAATAAAATAATTCGAAGTGTTCTGTCGGAGCTGCCTGCGACGCGCTGATGAGATCCAAAAAGATCGAAATCGCGATCCGCGTCTGGCAGTATCGACAGAATACAGACCACTTCGAGTTATTTTATTCGATTAAGCTAACGTGCCTATCACGTTGAGGTTGGCTACGCCGGGATTCGTTTTCAGCAAGTAGATATCGACACAAGTGGACTTTGTTGGAGCATACGTAATCCTAAAATGTAGCATCGTGCTACAGATGGCGTTTACTGCGCCATTTGTAGTATTTTCTAAAACGCACTGTTAAGACAGCAGGTAAAAGTTGGTCTGTGTTCTGTCGGAGCTGCCTGCGACTCGCTGATGTGATCCAAAAAGATCGAAATCGCGATCCGCGTCTGGCAGTTTCGACAGAATGAAGACCACTTCGAATTATTTTAATATCTGTTTTGTCCTCTTCAAAGTAATTCCCACTAGATATTATACACTTGTGCCAACATTCTATCCAATTCTTGAAGCACTTAAGAAAATAATTTTTTGTGATCTTGTTCAGCTTCTTCTTCAATGCTGTCTTTATCTCCTCAATCGTAGGGTAACGTCGTCCTCTCATGAGCCTCTTGAGTTTCGGGAACAAGAAACAGTCATAGAAGGCCAGATCTGAGGAATATATGGTACCTGCGACATTATTTGTGTGTCGTTTTTGACCGAAAATTCGAGCTCAAACAACGATGTGTGATCATGGCGCAAAAACCAATTTTTGTTCTTCCACAAATCCCAGCGTTTCTGGAGGATTGCCTCTCGCAAATTGCGCATAACTTGCAGATAATATTCCTTATTAACCGTTCTACCTTGTGGCAAGAACTCATGATGCACCACGTCCCTACAATCGAAAAAAACCAGGCAAAAACTTCACATTCTTGGCGCGCTTTTTTCGGTCTTGGCTCGTGCCGCAGCTTCCATTAGGATGATTGAGTTTTGGTTTCATTATCATAACCATAAACCCATGATTCGTCACCAGTTACGACCCTCTGGAGCAAATTTGGATCGTCGCAGACAAAGTCCAACAGCTCCTTAGGAATACTAATGCGATACTGTTTTTTTTTTTCGAAATTAAGCAATTTTGGTACGAATTTTGCGGCAGCCCAAATTATTGGTAAAAATCGAATCGACTGTTGGTAAATAATCTTTTGTGTTTTCGATAACGCTAAATGGATTGGCGGTATCGGAGAAACAATAAATGCATTGCAATGAAACGCTAGCTTCTTCACTTGACGTAAACTCTCATTGCTTTCGTTCCTCATTTTAAACCTTGCTACAGCTGCCAAATTCTTGAGCCCACTCAAATATAAGGGTCTTGCAACTCCTTTTCAATCTTTCCACAGTCACCCTTTCATCCCTTCCGCATATTTCGACCTTTCTATTCTTCTTATTCTCCTTCTCTTTCTTTCCCAATCGTTTCTGCATAATTTGTGTCAAATTCCCTGTGCTTGTCCCATTATTGGATTTGCCTTTGCTATTTGATTATTTATTGTAAGTGTGCTAATATATATTTTTGATTTTTCCTCGTTTAATACTTACCTAAGACAAGTCCCTGAAAGAGGGCAGCAGCTCATTCAGTCTCAGGGTGGCGGAGATCACAAGGATCGGTATGGCACTCTGATGCACGATACTGCGATGTGGAAGGCAACGGGAAACCACCACATTATGATCCCGAGAAGAACGTGTCACACAATTAAATGATGGCGTCCTCTGGGGTAAAACACTCCGGACGTAAACTAGTCCCCCATTAGGATGTCCGGGCGGGGACTACCTCGTGGGATGTCATCAATAAGTGCAATAGGGATTAGCTTTAAATAAAATGGAAGCGGTACTGACAGATCAGTACGATATGAAAATAAATAAAAGTAAAACTAAAATACTGGTAGGCAAGGGAAGAAAACGTAGGGAAAGAGGGAATATAAAGATAGGAGACGAAAAATTAGAAGAAGTGGCTGATTTTAGATACCTAGGAAGTCAGATAAGTGAGGATGGAAGGAATAGTAGGGATATAAAGCAGAGGATAGTGCAGGGTCGTGTCGCCTTTAATAAAAAGAAGTTACTTCTATGGTCGCGAACGGTTAATTTAGAAACTCGAAAAAGGTTGTTATGTTTGGAGCACGGCGTTGTACGGGTGCGAAACATGAAAAGTGGGAGCGGCGGAAAAGAAAAGGTTAGAAGCGTTCGAAATGTGGTGTTATAGGCGGATGATGAGGATATCGTGGGTTGAAAAGGTTAGAAATGAAGAGGTATTGGAAAGAATAGGAGAACAGAGGACTCTATGGAAGACAATAAAGAATAGGCGAGATAGGTTGGTAGGACACCTTCTCAGGCATAAAGGTCTAGTCAGAGATATATTAGAGGCAGAAACAGGAGTTAGGAGGGGAAGAGGTAGACCTAGATTAAGGATGTGGGCTGTTCTAGTTTTAGGGAAATGCGAAGTTTAGCTCAGGATAGAAAAGAGTGGAGGTACGTGTCCAACCAGTCTTAGGACTGATGACCTTATGATGATGATGATGAATACCTACCTAAAATATTTAAGGAAAGTATGAGCGTTGCAGCATGCCCCAGTCTCTTTTCGAAATTTTCCTTGCTCTGTTTCTATTCTGAAATACTATCTGCGTTTTAGTAACCGGAGTATTAGCACTTAACATCACACATGATAGTCTTTCCCATATCTGTCTCTCCCTTTTCTTTGCGATTAATCTTCAATTTATCACGTCACTATATCATCCGTTGTCGATAGTAAATTAGGTATAAAATACGTACAAGTCGATAGCAATGTAATAATACATAGGTAGAATGGCTAGGAGATTATATTCTTTATTTTGCAAACGAACACGCTCTATTAACGAAACTCGAAACTGATGATGATCATCGATTACGTTCACACCGTAAAATAATTCACCAATTGCGACGACCGAGTTTCATATTACAAAATCGACTTACAGAAGCTGAACCGATTAGATTTCAGGTGAAAAAGCCATTTAACAATGAAGCGAGCAATAGCAACTCCAATTACGATATGTTTTAGCCATCTTTAAGTACCTATTAAAAATTAAATAATATATTATATTAGTTGTAACAGTTTACGTGAGTGTTATTAAATTCAAACCGAATAAAGTAAATTCTTTGCCACAAATGAAAGTGTTTTTAATGTGGAAGTGATTTCGCAATAAACAAATTACAGTTAGTTGATTTTAAAATTACTTAATAATCGTGTAAAAAAAAGAAAGTGTATTAATAAAAAAATGGACAGACAGATGCGAGTGATCCTATATAAGTTCCGTTTTTCATTAGGACGTACGGAACCCTAACCCGAGAAAAGTTGAAGGTCTAATAAGAGACATATTACAGAAATCGTTAATTTTCAGTATCTAGGAAGTCAGATAGGTTGGAAGTAGCAGTAGAAATATATTAGAAGCATGAATGGGAGGTAAGAAGTGAAGAGGTAGGGCTAAATTAGATTACTGTTCACATATATGGTTAAGGATGTGAGATGTACTAGTTTTAAGCTAATGCGAAGATTAACCTAAAAGAGGAAATAGTGGAAGTGTGTGTCCAACCAGTCTTAAGTCTGACGGCCCTATGAAGTTGATAATAACTACCATACTGACATTTAAAAACGTCAAAAATTGATAATTTACTACCTTTAAAATAGAGTTTTTCAATTTGTGTAGTAGGTAATGTGTCACTTATTCTTATTTTTAAATCTAACTCAGTTCCTAATGTCTTTATAGTTATTTAAGTAATCCAAACGTATAATTACTCTGAATTAAATATTTTTGGAATTTGTTTACTTTGAAAATTTTAGCGGGAAAGATTAATCACAATTTTGTATGAAAATTATTAATTTCAACAAAAATATACCTAAACGTTATTTATTCCATATTGTACATTTTAAAGAATTGCATTACTTGCATCTGTGTTTTTATTAACCTATTAGTAGACGAGTGCCCTATAAATTTTTCATGTTTTGTACATACCGCTTTCATTATAAAAAATGCAGTAGAAAAAGCACAACCTTATTTAACAAATGCTGCAGCTAATTGTAAAACGAGCTGCACAGACTATATCCAGTATTTTACAAAAGCGTTATTTTTCTTTTGTTTTCCTATTGTGTTGTAAACTTCAGTTAACGTGGAAGGACACTTCAACTTCAACCCCAGACTTCATGCTTATTAAGAAATTAAATTAAAAAATTAATTTTGCATATTATAGTAAATATGAGGAATGAGAGTTTGTACTTATAAGATTACGTGTAAATGCTTTTAAAAACTAAATTACATATTCAAAAATTTTATCTTGGTTAGAAGCCTTTCTTTTCTTTATCAATAAAAAGGTTTTAACTATTTATTGACATCTACCCGGAATCGTTTAATTTGCCCGTAAGATAATTTATGTTTTCTTTCCATTTCAGCGAGATACTCGGCTCTGAGGACACAATGGCACCAAATTCTGAAAATGGAAGAGAAATTCGTGTTTACCCGTGGGAAGAGGACATTCTCCTGAAGGTATTGTTATTTTACTTTTATTAGCTCGCTTCTATTTGATGTACGCGGTGCGGCGTTCCAAGAAGCCCAAGATTTTCATTTGATGCTCCAGGAATTTCTAAGATTTATATGTAGCCTGGCACATAAAAACAACGATCCTACAGTTAAATCTAATCGTAAAACGAATTTATATTTTCTTAGATTTGTTAAATATAATTTTCTTAAATAGAATGATAGTTTTGAGCGATTGTTCAACTCATGCACTCACGTAAGCCATTTGTATAGAAAAAAAGAGCGTTTGGGCTCAAGGTGGATAGGAGTATTTCACAAATATGACTCGTGAGATGCTAAAACACCCCATGATAACAGTTGAGGGTTAAACAGAAAAGAATTCGATTCCCTTCGCTTTTCTTTGATGTTTTTTTTTAACAATAACATCCAGGCACGTAGTTACGGGTGACTCCCTCCCCCCCGTAGGCTAAGAAATTTATTTTCACGAAAAGCGAAAATGTTATCTTAAGGATCTTTGGGAAGTACAATCGGAGACAAGAGTATATAAAATTAGGAATTCGTGATTAATTAGGTTTTGCGGCATATCATGAGGTAAATAAATACTATCTATACTAAAAAAAGAGTATACGGTTTCAGAGAAAATTTGGAATTTGACAAAAAACTTTGAATAAAGTACGAAATAACGAATAATATGGAAAATGTTTAACTGACTTTTGAGAGCGAATATGCTTTGATTTCAACTTCGAAACAAAAAATATTTAGATTCAATTTCTATTAATAATGAGCGTAAAACTTTTAATATGTTTAAATAATAATTAAAACTTTAAAATTGCATTTATTTCAGTAAGTATAATCATTATATTATCAAGTAAAAACGAGATTTTCAGGTAATTTTTCATTTTTTCCTCGATAACCATTTAGTGAATTTGAATAACCTTATGCTAAAGTGATTCTCCAGAGTTCGTTACTTATTATGAAAGTTTGAAATTTCTGGTAGCTTTTTACTGTTAATAAAAATAAATTTAATCTGTTCGGTTAACGAATCTCCATAAAATGACGCGTAAAATTGCAATTTTTTAAAATTTCAATAACTTTTTAACGGTTTAGTGAATCGATTTGTAATTTTTACAGGAGTTTTAGAATTGAATGACGAACGTTCTTCCAAATTTTTATTTGTCTCGTAGCATTTTGACATACCTCCCAAACATCCTTAAGAAACCACTCAGAAATATTACACTTTCATAATACAATCTTTTAAAGTAAGGAAGAGGCAGATACTGTGTGACGAATTTTAGTAGATAATTTATCACATAATTTTATTATTTGTGGTCTTTATTACGACTGCGGTTCATTTATTACATGTTTAGTGTTTTTAAGGCGTTAAAAAGTCTTGTAACTGACGTTTACAGCACATTAAACTTATCTAAGACTGTTACAGGTCTCGTGTATATTTGATTAAAAACTACTAACACGAATTTCTGTAGTTTTACGTGCGGCAGTCGCGAAGGAAACATGCCCATACAACGTAAACAGTTGTACAGACGCCAGTGGCGTAGGTAGTTCTTTGAAGCAGCCCGTTATAGTTAATATAACTTGGAGAGACTTTTCTTATATTGTCAACTGTATAACTTCGGGTGGTTTGTATGTGTGGAAAAATATAACAGGAAATGGAAACCAGAGTTGCCATTTTAGAAAGGAGATGCACCGGATAGTGATTTGGCTTGGTACGTGATAACCAGGCACCCAAGAAAACCACTACACTTAATGGATCATGTCTTCAATCTGGGAGGTTTTCCATTAAATGCCACCCTTACAAACCACACCAGGAAAACCACTACACTTAATGGATCAAGTCTTCATTCTGGGAGATTTTCCATTAAATGCCACCCTTACAAACCACACCAGGAAAACCACTACACTTAATGGATCAAGTCTTCATTCTGGGAGGTTTTCTATTAAATGCCACCCTTACAAACCACACTAAGTCTCCTTCAAGAAATCGTTCAATCACCAAATCATCATCATCGTAAGATCCTAAAACTGGTTGGACACACACCTACACTCCTTCCTATCCCGAGCTAATCTTCGCATTTCCCTAAAACTAGAACATCCCTCCTAAATCATTTGCGAACGGTAATTTAATCCAGATCTACCTCTACTCCTCCTAACTTCCGTTTCTGCATCTAATATGTGTCTGACTAGACCTTCATGTCTGAGAAGGTGTCCTACCAACCTATCTCGCCTATTTTTAATTAAATAAAAAATACAATAGCCGAAAAAAATTAACGCAAGCGTTTTAAACTCTATAACTTAAGCATGTAAAACTTCATGACCCGATAACTTAAGCGTTTCAACTCCCATAACTCCCGCATTTAACACCTTATGAACTCATGCGTTTTGAATTCTATGACCCCTTAAGCCAAGGGTTTTAAACCATACAATCATACAATTCTTGCACAAAAAATAAATAGGACAACAAATTAGTATTGCAGTAGAATTAGTACCATTAGCATTAATGCTTTTCATGTAATTATAATTAAAATGATTTTTAACAGAAAATAAAACAAAAGCTTCTAACAAATCTTTACTGAGAATTTTATGTAGGTAAGTTTTATAATTCTTATGAATGAGAAGATCATCTCATTTGAAACATTAAAATTTAAGTGTATGTTAATGTGAGCATGTTCATTTCTTCTTTTCAATTCCTTCCTTTTGGCCCTTTATTTGACTGGTTTAGTTCCACAAGTGCCCCTGCGGTGATTGCCAGTTGTTTTCTATGAAGGCAATCTCTCAATATATTCCTACAATTAATGTAGCAGTTGCTACGCCCCTGTCAGACATTCTTGCACTATGTATGGGATTATACCTGTACTTGAAAAATAAAAGATTCATTTCAGTTTACATCACGGCTTATGTTGTATACTTCATGGTTATTAGATTAATTGCATGTTTTCGTGAAAGAACAGTGATTAAGCATCTTGACAAAAACTGAAGTTATTCTAGTTTGATTTATTAATAAAACCATTTCAAACGTCTGGGATTAGATACCTGGGAAATAATTTCTTTTTTCTGTTACCTATGTCCATCAACGGTATTTTTTTGATATCATTTTTCATTTCGCTTTCCGTCAAATCCGCTCTTCATTATTATTAATATGGCAACTGTTTCTTTTTTTTTTGTTTATTTAATAATGGCATTAATCTCAACAATCCAAGTACGTAACCCAATTCTGACGATCTCTAGTCTTAACGAGTTAATAATAAACAACAATAATAATAGTAACGAATAACATCTTCACCTAGTAGCTACAAATGTATTATATAAAAACAAAGATGTCAGATTCAGTTCAACGCTGATGAGAAGTCTTTGTTTTGACAAGAAGCATTTGTGGGTCGCGACCTTATTACAATCGACACCAATGCATCGTAGGTAAGTCTTAAGATTCATGATTGGTCTAATAAGACCCCAACAGAAAGAAAAAACCAAACTACTGCAGTACTTCAAACTGAAGTATTTGCATGAGCTTAGATTTTTTTCTTTATTACATTCCCCTGATGAGGATACCGTGGATATTAGAGAAGGTTAGAAATGGGGAGGTATTAGAAAGAGTAGGAGAACAGAAGACGCTACGGAAGTCAATAAAAAATAGGCGAGACAGGTTGATAGAACACCTCCTTAGGCAAGTAGGGCTAGGTAAATACATATTGGAAGCAGTAACAGGAGTTAAGGTAGAGCAGATTAAATTACTCTTCGCAAATAGTTGACGATATGGGATGTTCTAGATTTAAGGATATGCGAAAATTAGCTCAGCATAGGTAAGAAGAGGTACATATCCAACCAATCTGAGGATTGACGACCGTATGATGCTGATGACATTCATCTAGTCTGAAAGATTAAATTGTCGAACAAAACAATGGAATTAGCCTCATACTTAATATATCAACCCCTTATCTACCTAAAGAAACCCTGAAATCGCTCAGCCCATTAAAAATACATTTTAACTTTTTTAAGAAATGAACAAAATTTTTACAGAGCTGTCATCAAAATAATTTAATCTTGTACTGGGATGATGTTCATCATGACAATCACGGGGTTCCTTTGTTTTTTACCTAATGGTATAGAGCTATTTTATTATTTTCGTGGAAGAGGGGAAATCTTCAAAAGACACCCAGCCCTCCATCACAACTGGGTAGTATCGGATTCCTGAGGACGATGTCATCGGACCTACCGACTAAAACCCCTCTACCTCAGACCGTTCTACGACCATCTAAGGACATTTTCAACCGTCGGTATTCCTCCTGACCATTACGTAATGGTAAAGAGCTATTTTTTTTGTTTTCGTGGAAGAAGGGAAATCTTCAAAAGGCACCCAGTAGTCTGTTACGACTGGGTAGTGTCGGATTCCCGAGGAAAATGTCCCCGGACCCGCCCATTAAAACCCCTCTACCTCAGGCCGTTTTAGGACAATTTAAGAACCTCTTTAGTCGTCGGTATTCCTCCTGATCATTACCTAATAGTAAAGAGCTATTTTTTTGTTTTCGTGGAAGAGGGAATATCATTAAAAGACACCCAGTATTCCGTTACGACTGGGTAGTGTAAGATTCCCGCGGACCTACCGACTAAAATTCCAATATGGGATCCGTCAAATGGGCATACACCATCTGGTGGCAAAATTTAAAACTCGAACGAAGGAAAAATTTACATAGGAACTGTGTACGCAAATTGTAAAATTGTTTATTAAAATAATAAAACACGTTAAAAAAGTAAAAATTTTTTTGATGATGGAGTCGACGAAGTTTTCTTCTAAAGTTAAATCAAATAAAAAGTTAATATGTTCAGTGAAAAGTTGCAATAGCACTTCAGACATAGATCTTCACTCTTCACCTACATTAACTACTTTCCAATAAAAACTAACCGTTTTATATATGTAAAAAATATATTCGGAAAATTAGAGAAAAAAGTAAACTAATAGAAGCTTGGATGAAAGCAGTAGGTATCAAAGAA